GCTCAAAGCAGGTGTTTTAAAAAAGCACGAAATATCAAGTAATTTTGTCGCTATTACAATAAATTTTGATGTTAAATGTACAATTGGCCAGACTGCTCTCGGCCTCATCTACTGAAGACAAGTGAGGGAATATATTTGTTTTAGGAAACTAGTCTTATAAAGTAAGGCATAAAGAAGGCAAAAGAATATATGTACAAAAGTGGACAAGAGCCAGTAGCACACCCTCACATTTGAGTTGTACAAGATTAAATCCTCCTTCATTACCCACCTTCTTTCATTCTCCCATTCGCTCATTCTCTCCTCCCTTGGTAGCATCATTTACACTCAAAACTAAGTGTTGATGAATATACTCAATGAAAAGTAAACAAAACATTCTACTGAAAAAATTTTCAACCGATACCACATCAGGGCTGGCACTCTTAATAATCGGTAAAGTGAAGAGAGGTAGTAGAGGTTCGAGACTACCAGTATTTCCGTTGACTTTTCATTTTATGCTCAACAGGTACCAACACATTCAATCGGGTCCAGTCTCCACAGTTGCCAGCCCCTTTGTGAGGTTCCATTTTGGAAATTCCAGTCGCATTGGCAGCTTTCGCTTCAGCTTAGCGTGAATTCTTCGAGTTCGACCTTTGCCTGAGACGAAGTTTGCGTAGTCTCCTCAAAGACAACTTTTAAACAGTCTGGCTTTAGAGTTGAGGAAGCTCAAAAATTAACTAAAAGTAGATTATCTTTTATGGAAATTCATCTGAAACCCAAAATCATGACTCTCCTAATGTTAGAATGGAATCATAGCCGGACAATAGTTAGTCAATTAGGATTGCTTCTTAACAACTGGCCCATACTACTCATTCTGTTAAAAGTAGTATGCATGCTGTACGCGTAATTATTCCCAAATATCTGAACATCTCCTGGCCTACACCCAACTGCTTATGCATATAAAAGGGATGAAATTACAGCAAAGGGGCAACTTTTCTGTACGTCCCCCTTACTCATCTAGTTGCCGACCCATTTGCCCAAACAACCGCCCACCAGCTCATCTTTACATGCTTGCCAGTAGACAAGTCTGTCTATCTATTCATCTAGCCGCCTACTCACCAGCCTGTCTCAATTGAACATGAGGTGATGTTATTAATTTACTTTAATTTAGTGAATTACATAAAGTTTAAGTATAATACAATGGATGGACATCTTTCAATTTACAAATACTCTTAGCATCATCAATGGACTCTTCATAATTTTAGAGAAAAAATTCAGGTGAAATGGATTCGTAGCTTGGCCTCGTGGGAAAGGAAAGAAGGATCGCAGCGCAGTCGGGACTGTTGATTTGTGCGAAGAAGCGCTCGGTTCAGCTTCTTACAATCCCTCCGAGGCTGGTCCTTCTACAGCAAGACCAAGAAACTAGCGGCCAGGCCAGTTAACCACATTCGTCTTTTGAAGTTGTGTTCCTCTAGTCTTATGCAATAGGCCCTTAAGCACAAGCTTTTGGGAGTACTTCATGATTTAGTTGCTGTAGGCTTAAGAAAAATAACTAAAAAATTAGGCAATCATGTCGGAAGATATTGGTTGGGATGACCTCGTCGAGATACGGAGTATAGTGAGCCAAGGACTTGTCGCTGGGTGACCAATGTATGCATAGTTCCATCCATTTTTTGATGAAGTATCGAGAATAGTCGGTTGCTGTGGCAGTCAAGCATCTAATTTGTTAGCAGGATAAAGCAGTTTTCGTGAGCGATTACAGACTCTAAACACTAATCGAGCACAAGTCCAGTTGCAATCAAAACATGCTTTTGGAATTTTCAGTGTGAATAAATTTCACAGAAATGCTACATCTTCCCAATAGCTTCAGCATGCTTATTATCATTGCTGTTGTCGTGCCTATCCCGCCATCACAAAACAAAGTGAAATCCAACAACATTGGCGTGCTCGCAGACTCTTCGTCGACCTACCGTCACGCCGGGACTCGAGCTGGCCCACCTCATTCTTCGTCTTCACGTGGCAAGCGGCCGTCCTGCCATTCAGTGATCCGTAAGTCATTTGATGAAACAACACTGCCTTTGGCCGAAGCAAGTTACAACTTATGCTTCTGGCCACAACAGCAGGCTACGAAAAAGAAGAAGAAGAAGGAGAGGATAGAGAGGATAGAGAATAAGAAGAAGAAGGAAAAGGAGAAAAAGGAGAAGAAGAAGAGGAAGCAGAAGGAGGATAAGGAGAAGAAGAAGAGGAAGCAGGAGGAGGAGAAGAAGGAGAAATAAAAAGAAAACGAAGAGGAAAAAGTAGAAAAGGAAGAAGAGGAAGAAGGTGGATGAGGAACAGGAGGAGCAAAAAAAGGCGATGAAAAAGAAATAGAGGAAGAGTAAGGAGAAGGAGAAAGAGGAGAAGAAGAAGAGGAAGAAGAAAAGGAAGAAGAAAAAGAAGAAGAGGTAGCAGAAGGAGAAGGAAAAAAAGAGAAAGCAAAG